TTTTACATACTACCATTTAGCACCTACATCAGCACACCTAGGAATCAAGAAAACTATACATAAAATAAATCAATTTCTTTGGTCACCAAATTTAAACAAAATAATAGCCGACAAAGTCAGAACATGTCTCTCTTGCCAAAGATCCAAACAAGCTCCGAACACCAGGGTAGGCGAATTATCATCCGATCTAGCAACAAAACCATTCCAAAAAGTGTACATTGACTACGTAGGCAAACTTCCTAGGACAAAGTCAGGCAACTCGTACCTACTATCTGTGGTGGACGCATTTTCAAAGTTTGTAATTCTTTTACCAGCTAGAAACACGACAGCTGCCACCACAACTACACTTCTCACAAAACACATATTCTCACACTACGGTTTCCCGCAATACTTACTATCAGACAACGCACCATCTTTCAAATAAAAAAAAATGAAGGAAATGTGTTTAAACTTCGGAATCAAACACATATTTACGTCACAGTACAACCCAAGCGCAAACAACGTAGAGGGAGTCAATAAAAATCTTAAAGTTGCTATGAGGATATATCACAATTCTGACAACCAAACATGGGATCAAAACATTCATTGGTTTCAAATAGCATTTAACTCCGCTCAACATGAAAGCACCGGTTCGACACCTGCAAGCTTATTTTTGGGGAAAGAAATTAACCATCCACTACAATTAGCCTGGGATTTAAATAAATTAATTGGGGAAGAACCTCAACCATCCACAGACAATCGCTGGCAACATGCACTTGATAACCTACGGAAGGCAAAAGAAAAGCGCACACAATATTATAACAGCGGTCGTCAACCCAATCCTTACAAAGTAGGCGATTGGGTAATGTATAAAATGTACCCACAGTCCAAAGCAATAGACAACGTCAATTATAAACTCCAATACGCCTGGTCAAAACCGTGCGTGATTGACAGTTTCTCATCACCGGTGTCAGTAAAGCTAGTAAACCCCTCAACAGGTAAGATTGTGACAAAAGCCCACATTTCACAATTGAAACGATTTTTTCAGCCAATTTATTAAATAAACGTCGTCAGAGTGCACAATAGAACCTTAGCCTAGTTTAATTAGTTATAAGTAAACATCTAGCAAGAAATCTCGAGTAACTTGACTGACTACAACAACACTTCACAACAATACTGTACACAATACAACTCCGGCCCCGGCTGATAAGAGTGTCGAGAGTTGAGTCTAAGGCGTGTCTTTACCGAGGGCACGTCTACAGTTCTCGGCGCACTGCTTGGCCGGAACCGGGAAACAAGCAACAACAATACATGGCAAGTTGGCAGCGAAACACGTCATAGTGTTTGTACTTAATATATGCATTTCAAGACCCCAGTAATCAACAACCTTTTCAATCCCCTTAAAACCTACAATCTGAGCAAACGACTAATTTTTTTTAAGTAATTTTTATTTTTAATTTGCTCAAATTGGCTATGACGGGAATCGTTTGCCATAACACATTCTTATGACAGATTGCAACTGTCATATGGATAGTGCAGCCGACAGCTTACTTATGACAACAAACACTCACTAACAGTACTGGACTGAAAAATGACAGCACAGGAACGATACAGACAACTGACTACAGAACAAGCTAGACTTAAACTAGGGCAATTAGGCTAAGTAGAACTAAGTAGAATTAAGTAAAATGAAGTATTTCTGTGTTAATATAAGCAATTGAATCGTAAAGGTAAATACAAGATTGCATAAAAAGTATTAAGTAATTAAAGTGATCTACGTATATTAAGAAAGATATATGGTATTCAGGCAAAACACAATCGTTATCAAAGTAGATAACAGCGCACACTACAATCCATATGTTTGTAAATAAAAAGCAGTATTCTGAGCGTAGAAGAAGAGTTTATGTGCTATATATTTGTAAAGGGTAATTTAAATGTTTATTATGTGTTATACACTTGCATGCGTTAAAATAAAATACAAAAAAATATATATATAAATATATTTATGTTGCTGAGCGACAGAGAAGGAAATGGACTAGTAGGAAACAGACAATAGCAAGCGCCAGACACGAGATAACACCTTCGTTATCAGTACAAAGATCTGTTCCATTCAAACCTCTACTTCCGCCCTATATAAATAATCAAACCAAGCACCGATCAATCCTTCACATTGAAGGAACATATTAAAACAATATTTGTTTAAAAATAAAATTGTGCTAAGCCGTCCGTGAAATAAATAATTATTATTTAATACCTCTGTGCATAATTGTTGGTAATTGGCACTAGAGGAGCTTCGAATGAACATACACTTACAATAACATTATCATTCCTTACATCAACCAACAGATTTTTGAAACTCCATTCAACCAAGAATAGCATCCAAACTGAAAGAGTGCATAATGTGTGTCACACTAGTTAATTAATTAATTATTAGTAAATCAACAGAAATTTAGTAATATATCTCCCAGTCAATCAAATCCATAGCATTTAAGTAGATAAACATTAGTTTTTTCCCTTTTATCCTCAGTAAATTAAATTTCTTTTTTAATTAGGTAGAACAATTTCTTATTGTTAGTAAATTCATTTAGATCATAAGTATCAATAGTAAACTTAAGTAGAGTAGTCGCGATCAATTTTTACCGAATATCTAGGGAATATATCAGTGATAACAAAGACCAAAATAATTAAACATCAAACAAACAATCTCCAAATTCACATCTGAGTCAACGTATCATCAACCGCATATCAACTTCAAAACTCAACACCTTTTATTCAACATTAAGAGACGACCAGCGATATAATTAGCGCCCCGAACTTAGTAAGGGCTCAAGAGCTAATTCCGAAACTACGTAGCAGCACACCACAACAGTATACCTTCAAGAACTTCAGAACATTGCTCCAGCTTCATTCTTCAATTACACAGCTTCATTCTTCCAACTACTCAACTTCAAGAAACTCATCAAACTTCAGCAACCTTCCATATTTACCAGCAATTACCGAACTTCAATACATCCATCAAATTTCATCAACCTTCAGTATTTCGACAACATTCCCAAATTCATCATCATCAATCATATATCCAACTTCACCAGCCAACAAATCTTTCTCAACCCAACTTAATTAAATCTATCACCGATATACGCCCGCCCACATTTTTTAGAGCAGGTTTAGATTAAGCAATCCCACCAAACATAGTTATAAGAAAATATTTCAAAACCATAGTCACCTTTAGTTTAAAAAAAAAAAAAAAAAAAAAAAAATAGTTAATAGTTTATAAGCAAGACCGACACACATTATAACCTCAAATGAGCCAAACCATAAGGAGTGCAGAAAACTGTTGGAACATTTCCACACTGACACCGATGTCACAACGACACAATCTCATAACGAGCACAATAAAAAAAAAAAAATTTCTTCGTCCTTCATCTTTCCCAAACCCCAAAATCACCCCAAAACGAGAAAAAAAACAACCCCACCGGGGGGAGGATGTAGCGAATCGCTACAATAGCGCAAGTCACGTGACGCGGATGCGCGCGCAGTCGGTCCGGCAACCACGCGCGGCGAGCCATTAGAGTCGTGGGTAGTAGTGTGTCGACCGCCTGCAGCTGTACAACTTGACCGGATAAGTAGTTGTAGCCTAAGATGTCTAGCTAATATATATAGGGGTTGTTGAAGGGTGTAGGTTAGGGTAGGTAGTAATTAAATTATGTAATTTATTGGGTTCTCGAATGGTCGTGGTCTGGCAATCAATATCACAAATTTAGAATTCACATTTGCTAAATCTAGTTACCTTTTTCACGATTTAGAATAAGTCCATATATATATATTTCTCTGTTCCCTATATTATAATTAGATACATTAAGAACATAAAAGCTGGCTGTGATAGGCAGCTAAGGTAATATTGTGCACTTTGACGAGTTAGATTAATTCCTTGCAATAGAGTTGGGTTACGACAGGAAATGTGCGTGATTTGGCAGTGGTTAGAGGAAGATATGTAGGGCCCAGGTATCTTCATTTACACTCATACTACTCCACATCATCACAGATTGAGAAACAAACAATTTCACATTAGATAAAAAATTAGCACTCCTCACTAGTCCACTGCATTTTGATAACTGAAAATCGTCGGAATAAAAACCGTCGTCACAAGATACAGTAGTTGGTGCTCCTGCATCGGCCTCCACAGCTGCACACGCTGTCGCTCTACCCATCGCCACCTAAAAGACGATGAAGTGAGCTGACAGTCAAGTAAATTGTTGACAAAGAGAATTCTCGTATTAAATTATTTAATTTTACCAGCCGATCAATGGGACTGACGATGAAATAACATGTTGACAAAGAGGTTTTTCCTATTTCTATATTTAATTTAAAAAGATGGTCTAGTGGCCTGACGACGAAGTAAGTTGTCGATCTACTGGTAGCCCCCCATTTCAAACCTGTCTGTCTTCATCTAGCTTCAGTTGCATGACCACTGCCTTGTACAATGGTCTTCGTACTGGCCACCGCTCTTATCCTTGTTTTAATATTTTACTCACTTGTAAATAGTTTTCCCATTTAGTGTCTCTCATTACGTTTTCAGTTCTCGTACAGTCTTTTAAAGAAGTAGTTATTTTTTACTATTAGACCAAGCGTATAATTTTATTACCCAGACTATGTGTTTGAAGGCAGTGTCAGTGCGGTTCGCCACGTGCTGTGAATGGTGCCACCATTTCCAGGCCTCAAATATTGTACTGGTATTGTTTCGCATTTCATTCTCTGTTATTTTGCTATCGCCTACGTAATTTTCTCCAAATAATCTTGTACGCTACAGTATGTATACAATTGAAAACTCTGGGCCGTTTGATGTTCCAGTAAAAGAACTAGTTTTATCATGAGCATGACCACAAGTAATTCACTGATCTTGCACCACCCATTAAGTTTGTTTTTTGTCATAGTTTAAAAATTAATTTCTATGTGTACATGTAACTAAAATGTTGAGCACTCTTGTGGTTCTAAAAAGAGCAACCTTATGATTTTTTCAGTCCTAAACTGAAAGCAATTGCGTCTTCAGCCAGCAACACCTGGGGCCTGTTCTTGCTTGTGCTGCTACTAGGCTATGCTCTGGTGGAGATACCTCGCAACCTGTGGCACTCCTCGTCGTGTCAGTACACACTGAACCACGCCTACTTCAAAGCGGCCAAGCTGTCAGCTGACAAGTGTGAAGCAGAGGACTCCTTGGACGACACACTTGAGGTACCACACTAAACTGACTGAATCATCTTGTTTCATTTAAAATCTGTGATTACAAATTATATTTCCAATTAACAGTACATTAATTAATACATTTAATCCTGAATTCTTTTATCTATTTAATTACAATTATTAAATGAGGTTGAATCTAGAAGCCAATCTTTCTAAATGTCTAAATGGCGTTTGGCTCTCCAACTCATTTAAAATTCCTTAAAAAACACGAGTTTTTTTTTATTTGAATAAAAATTTATAGGTATTCTTTTAGTCATAAAATATACAATGTACAACATGTGTGAAACCAAAACAATTAACTTTTGGTTGTAAAGAGAGAGTAATACAGTGGAACCTTGATAAGAAGACCCTCGATAACAAGTCGTCCTTGATAACAAGTGTCATTTTCAAATTCCTTTAAAATTATTTTACCCCTAATCACATGTTATTTACAAACCTCAATAAGAAGTCAACCTTAATAACAAGTCTTATTTTACAATCCCCATGAGAGTATTGTTATCAAGGTTCTACTGTACATGATTATCTGTCCAGTCTGTTCAGTCCATATCAAACTACATCCGGCCTGGAGACACCCTGTACACCCATCTGACGACGATCCTGCATAAGATACCTGCGGAGATGAGGCAGAGCATGAAGCGGAGGCAGAGAAGTCATGAAGAACACGGAGACGTGCCGAGTCTCAAGGCTCTCGTGAGACTACACAAACAGGTACACTCTACATGCTGGGTGCTCTATACCAAACAGGGAATTAAATTTACCTTAACATGTTGTCAAAATCTACATTTTACGGGCACGCGTTTTAGTCAAAGCAAAGTATCACAACCATCTCACTCATACTTGGCTTGATAAAGATCACTCATAGGTTACGTACCTTAGTCCGTCTTCAGTCTTAAGTTAGTCTAGGGATGACTAGTTTCTGGTCAAAGACCCATTATCAAATCCTTGTAAACATCAATTGGAGTTGGTCATAAATCCTACAGAAGTCTTGATCAACAAGTCGTATTTATGACCAACTCCAATTGATATTTAAAAGGATTTGATAATGGGTCTTTGACCAGAAACTAGTCATCCCTAGACTAACTTAAGACTGAAGACGGACTAAGGTACGTAACATATTATATAAGCTATTCAAAAATCAGTATTGGTGGCAAAGATGTTTAAAAAAGATATGTCACCATTTGATCTGATTCATACTTATAAAAGTATTAAAGGTAATTTGAAAATCCAATTTCTTCAATGTTATAAGTCAGTTACAGATTTTAAAATCATTTAACAAGACTAAAAGCCAAAATGTTGAACTAGCTTGTATTTAAAGTTGATTAGGCTATATTTGATTACTCAGACCTGTTAAAGAGCTGCCATTACTATCATGGAAGTTCAATATTGTCAGGACAGGACTAAACTACCATTGATGATGTTGTTGACAGTTAATCAAAGCCTTGCAGACGTACAGACGATGTGAGACACAATGGGAACTTCTCGTTGATAGGATCATCCTTCAAGAGGATATTGCTCGCAACCAGATGTCTCGAGATCACAGGTTCAAACCTACCTTTCCAAAAACTCAATCTCCCTTGGCAGCAGCAGTTTTCAATCCAACTCTTGGTGAGTCTGGTCTTCATTTAAACTTTCCTAATGGCCCAGAGTGTAGTGAAAGTGTAAAATAGTGGTCTCTGGTTTTTTATTGGAAGCCCCAATACAAGTGATAGGAACATGATTTGTAATGGCGACTCCCGCTCCCACATTAAACCCAACAGTAATAATGATCTCAACAAAAACGTACAAACAGAAAAATATTTAATAATAATATTCCATCAAAGTATTCAGCACTTACCTTCAAGGATCGAACCTTTATTAGTGACTATAAATTAATTAACTCCTCATATTGTAATCTTAACAGATCACGATATGAAGGAAAATGAAATTAACAGACTCAATATACAAGATTATGATATAAACAATTTTTATTGTAGAGAAACATGTTTCAAAGGTGGCGTTGTTATGCTTTCCCTGAAGGGTTTGAAGTGGAAGCGGGTGGATGTTCCAAATTGGTTGTCTGGTAGTTTACTTCAAGATAAGCAATTCAAATTTTGTGCCTGTAGCTATAGCTATATATTGTTAGTCAAGAATATTTATGATTGGCGTATTTTGGACCCAAAAATAAGATTCAATAATAATAATAATAAGATTCAATAAGATTTATTGCAGCCATTAAACATAACATTTTGTAATAGGCATTGTTACAATAGTACTTAAAAATAGATCATACATCAATTATAAATTTCAATACATACATTATCCTATTTAGAATCTAAACTAAACATGATATGTCACTATTTAAAAATTCTTCCTGCGTGTAGAATGCTTTTGATTTTAAAAACTCAGTAATTTTTCTTTTAAATTGGTTTAGAGGTAGTTCACGAAAACAAGTGGGTAGCTTGTTGAAGAAAATATGTTGGATGTAAAAATGGCTACGGTATTTAAAGTTTTTGAAAGTCTGATTTGAGGTGTGACTAGGTTGTTTTTGTGCCTCGTGTTGTATGGATGAGAATAGCTTGAAAATTTTAAGGGGTTGTTTTTTATATGAATTAAATTACAAAGAATGTACATAGATGGCAGTGTAAGCAAATTTAAATTGGAAAAGTGATCCCTACAGGATTCATGATCTTGCAATCCTAGCATGGCTCTAAGAGCTTTCTTTTGCCAAACAAATGCTTTCTGAGCTAAGTGTGAACCACCCCAGAGACGCAAACCATAAAGCAGCTGTGAGTGAAACAAACCGTAGTAAGTCATTACCAAAGTGTTAAAACTCACACATGATCCAAGTTTTCTCAAGAGACAGGTTATTCTAGCCAATCTTTTACAAAGTTGTGTAATGTGGGTATCCCAGCTTAGTCTGTTGTCAAGATGGATGCCTAAGAGGTTGACTGTTTTATAAGCATCAGTGGGTTGATCTTTTTTTAGTGAAAAGTAGATGTGTTCTGTTTTTTCCTCATTGATAGCCAAATTATTGATTTTATACCAGAATTTAGCACAGTTTAGGGCATGATTAAGATTGTACTCAACTGTTAAAACATTATCATCTTTACAGAACAGGGTAGTATCATCAGCATAAAGTATTGATTGAGTAGGGATATTAAAACTAAAGTCGTTAATAAAAATCAAAAACAGGAAAGGTCCTAAAATGGACCCCTGCGGAAAACCAGCATTCAATTCCAAAATATCAGAATAATCATCTCCTATCACGACCTGCTGTTTACGGTTTTCCAGGTAGGATTGAATGATGTTGAGTTCACGGTTCCTAACGCCATAGTAATATAGTTTATCAAGAAGAATGGGATGGGAGATTGTGTCGAAGGCCTTGGTCAAATCAATAAGGCATGTACCTGCCTTAAATTTGAATCTAATTCAAATTTTTTCGAATCGAATACTTTCCCTCGAATAGTATTCGAATAGTGTACATTTTTTAACCGAATACTAACCCTCAAATAATGAAAACTTGAAATCAATATCAAGTCAACTCTCAATAACTTAATTACTAAAACTGTTGGTAGGCCTATATTTTTTTCAGAATAAGTGTAAGTTAGATTGTAAATGTATATTTTGTTTATTTAATTTAGGCCTGGTTTAATTCAATAGGTATCTGAACTAAGATACTAAGTAAAGGTACAAACCTGAACCAAGTTTTATTAGTCAAAATTATAAAGCACTACCAATAACAAATTTTGTAAAACTCATTCAACCAATTGGGTAACATAAGACATAAGACATTTATTCATCATTTTTACATATGTAATGCATAGACAGGTCAAATTGTTGGTAAATACATCTCGTATTCAGTCTTGAGTAAATAAATGTATAAATATATAAATAACAAGTAATTCAGTTAATACAGTCAATATAATACAAGAGTTAAAATTGAAATTGAGCGACGAGCAAATAAATACAAAAGTTACAGACCATGGCAAGAGATTAAACATTTGACAGTAATAAATTAAAAAAATTGTGCAACTTATATCTAAATCACAGTTACATCCTATTTCAAATATTTTTTACTAACTTATCAGACATGCTAAAAAAATCTTCGATACGGTAGAGAGGGTTGTTTACTAGAAATAAAAACAGCCTTTTATTAAAATTCTTAAAGTCTAAATCTGTCACAGCCAGAGGTAATTTATTTAATAGCCTGATACCCATCACAACATGTCCTGATCTTGTTTTTTCCAACCGTACCTGAGGCAGATCAATCTTTTTGCAGTTTCTGGTACTAAAACTGTGCACTTCATTTCTCATTTTGTATTTAAAGCTATTTAAAAGTAAACAATAATAATTGATAAATGTATAAGTTAATGATGGTCAATATTTTTAATTCAATAAAAAGGGGTTTACAGTGTGCTTCACTATCCTCTTTACACATTATTCTGATGATTTTTTTCTGAGATAGAAGTACCTCGTGGATTTTAGGAGAGCTACCATAATAAATTAAACCATATGAAGCAATTGACTGAAATAACGCAAAATAAGCAGATTTTAAAGTTAAAAAAACACAACTTTCGGAGAGAAGCAAATGTAACTAAGGTGTATAGGCTACTTACATATCAATATTGTCCTGGGGCATAGGATGGGTTGTCAGCATCTTCACCTTCTTCCTCAACATCCTCTAAAATTTTCCTTTTCAAGCTTGTGGCTTGTCTGCACTTTTTTGCAATTTCTTCTACCGCTTTCTCCGCTTTACGAACTCGAATCGCGTCAATTTTCTTCATCGCCACAACACAGTTTTCACCAGGATTCAGCCCAAGCATTTTAAAAACTAAGCACTTTGCTACATTTTAGGGGTGTGCGATGCATCGAAAATGCATCGAAATTTCGATTTGATTCGATTCGATGCATCGAATCGAATCGAAAATCTTTTGAATCGAATCGTTGCTTCGAATCGAAAATTTTTTGCTGCTTCGCACACCCCTACTACATTTCCTTTGTTGTAGTGGGACACAGCATCATAAACACCCATTTTCAATGTGTCAAGCCTGACAAACACTTTTTTTGGGATTCTACTCCAAATTATACTGTTCAGCGATTCGCTAACGTTTTGCGTACCGCCATGCGTGCACTTAGCTAAAAGCACAGGATTTGATAAGTCCTCAAAAATTGGTTTTAGCTCTTTCATTATAACTTCTGGCAGGTGTGTGTGTTTTTTATGGTCATATGAAGAGCCATCTAGGACAGACTTCTGGTATTTGCACCAAGAATCCGTTGGACACAAACGGTGTTGAGGGTTTTCATTTGTCGAAGACAGATGGAAGTAAGTAGCCCATATGGCCTTATGCATTTTATCTACACCTCACTAGTATTCCTCCTTATGGCTAGCCCATAGTATAGTTGAATAGTGTTTATGGCAGCTGCAGTTAGCCTACCTTGGCCACTGATAGTTTTGCCATCCGACAATACCAACTTCGAATTTTTCTGTTTGAATGTTCGGAGGCGGGTACCCATTCTCTTTTGGACGTGCCCTAAGCACTCCAACTTTTCCACTTGAAGGTCCTGGCCATAGGGATTTTCATTGGAAATTACAGCAAAGCCTTTGGAATCCCCATCCCCTAGATAATATTTATACCGAATCCCATAATTGTCTTCAGATCGGTTAAAGATTTGTCGCACGCCCTCGACCTCCATCCCGCCGCTTGATCCTGCATAATTTGCGATACAAGTATCACTGTGTTTTTTTTCAAACCTAAACTTACAGGTACAATATTTTGAAAATATGGCACAGTCAAGTACTTGGCCAGTAGTGATGCTTGTTGCAGTTAGCACACCATTTAGCGAGGAGAATCCTCGCCTTTGCCAACTTCCGTCGAACGCAGCTGCGATGTCTCGACAACCTTCATTTTCTTTAACCGCAACTTCCACTGCCTCTTTCATTGACTCAATACAGACCATCTTTGTTGCTGACTGAAGAACTTTATTATAAAAAGCAAACTTGGAAGGCATATTGAAGTTCATTACACCTGCAAAGGCTCGACCAGTCTCTTGGCCAATACCGATTGTTCGTAGCGCATAAACGAATCGAAGATTGATGTCGTAATAAGTCCTATCTCTTTCTTCTACAGTTGCTTTGGCACTGTTTTCCTTACTAACTTTAGCATTACATTCAACATTTTCACACTCTAAAGTCATTGTACACGCTAGGCCTACTCGATTTGAAACTGTAAGTTGCAAAGAATACCCACATTGCTTACAAACTGCTATTTCAGAGATCAATTTATTCAACTCAGCAAAATCTACAATATCATATTGAAAAGAGTTGTCTTCAAACTGATTGTATTCAGTTGAATGTCTGGTGAGTTTTCTTTTAGATGCACTAACATCCTTACGAGTAAACTTACATGAAGTAACACTAGGCCTAGGACTTGTAATTGAGGTTACAGTTTTGTCATGACTGTTACTATTAGTGACACACTAGCCTGAAGATAGCTGACGATCCTATCTGACGACCTAGATTTTTTGCCCTTTTGATTTACGACTTGCCAGTGGAAAGTAAGCTGGGTGCAAATAAAAGTAGACCTCAAAGTTAGTCTTTGAAAGTGCTATTAGTGGTATGGGAGCTG